ATGAAATTTCAATCGGTATTTCAAAGAAGTACGAAAAAATGCCAATATCTTTTCGAAAATTAATTTTGTGTTCAGATGAGTCAAAAAACAACTTTGTCTCATCGAACAGAGCCCAGAAAGTGATAGAAAAAAAAGGAGAAGCTTATAAATTGAGTTGTTTGCGAGGTAGCGGAAAGCTTGGAGGAGGAAATATGATGGTTTGGGGTAGTATTACTTGTAAAGGAAAGGGAAATTGATATTTATGGATAACCAAAAAAATGCTTCAATGTATTGTGAAATTCTCTAAGCCAACTTGCAACCATCTACTATAAAATTGAGAATTGGAAACGATTACATACTCCAGCAGGATAACGATCCAAAACATACCGCTAAGAAAACGAAGGAATAACATTATGTTTCTTTATTTCTTCTTTAAGTTTAACAGCTTCTTTAATAGTTGATCTGAATATACCAAACTGAGATGTCTGATGGTTGCTGCTTTGCTGGCTGATAACTTTAAAAATGTTATTAATTAGGTTGTAGTTTTGGTTTTGCTGTAGTTCTTGCTGGTACTTGTGTTCTTCTGAATCTTCAGACTTTTGATATTCAGACTTGGATTCGAACATTGTTGCTGATGCCGTTACTGTTGTTGAAATTGGATTCAAGGACATTTTTTATTCTTTTAAATGGATGGATAGTTTTAGAACTAGCAGCCTTCCCTGTTGTATAACCGACCTGAGTTTCTACCCTTTGCTTTCAATCTGAAGATAATACAATCTTTTGTCCTCACTGCAGAGCCATTAACTATCTTTTTTTGGTATGTCAAAAACTTTATTCAATGGATCGTATTTTTCTTTGTTTTACACATTTATCGTACGTCTTCAGCACATGATCCAGCTGTATAACTTAAATTGATGTGCAAAATTTAATTGCTTTTGCCATAAACTTGTTACTTCTTCGTCGACTTGCTTCATGCGTTTTCGTCTCCTTTTAATGGATTCTCCCAGGAACAGATAGCGACCAACAATTTGGATTTTGAGTGCTATCCTGCTGTTATCTTCCAGTGATTATTCTTCTTATAGAATAGTTTTTCTTTTCCTATTTGACTAGTAAAATCGTACTCGATTCTTCAACCAGATTCTTCTTATAGAATAGTTTTTCTTTTCCTATTTGACTAGTAAAATCGTACTCGATTCTTCAACCAGATCGTCCTAATTTTTTCAGTAATGAAAGCACTTTTTTTTATAGGATATGTGATTAAAGATAATACTTGAATATATTTCTGAAAGACAATGATAATAAATATATGTGCTATTGTACTTCTATATTATTTGACTGCCATCTATAAGTATTAGCGTTGCTCAATAAAGCTTATATATAAGTATTAGCGTATTTATATATAAGTATTGGCACTGCTCAATATACAGCTTATATAGCCTAAATCTTGGTAATTTCCATACACTTCTAGAAATTCTAGAAAGTTTCAGACATTTTTCAAAATGTAAACATTTTGAAAGTTTTAAAATGTTCGAAGTGTTTAAAATGAACGTTTCAAATAAAAATGAAACAAATTGGTATGTTTTATGGAGTGTTCTTATGAGAAACAATCCAAGACAAGAGTCAACCAAGATCTGGGCAAAAAAAGTTCCTTCTATCTATCCTTCTTAAGTTTATTCTTATTTTTATAAGGATTTTTACACCGAGATTTCAAAAGACCAACCCAGTCTTTTGGGTCTGCTCGCCTCCATACAAACATTACCCTTTAATATACAAATGAATTATTTTTTAATATGTATTTTATACTCATGATAAATCTATTGATTGTTGATTTTTTATAAATTATGTGTTGAAAAGAATTGCTATTCATTCGAATTTGTTTTAAAGTTTTAAATAACTTTTAATAAAAGTTATAACATTTTAAAATATAAAGTCAAAATGTTAATGTGTATATTATGATAAGTTTTGTTTCATATACTCTTGTACATTTCTTACTCACCGGACTTTTTATATATTTCTATTACACTTTCTTGAATGTATCCTTTAACTGTATTGATGGAAGTTGCACGGTTTGAAAAAGATATAAAAAGAAAACTGTTAAATCAGTCAGCGCCGCCTAGCTGGCAGACTCTAAATCAGTCAGCGCCGCCTAGCTGGCAGACTCAAAATGGCAGACATGAAAAAACTATGATAATTAGGAGAATCAGAGAGAAAAGTTCCTTACATTGCTGGAACAAGAAGCTTTGGGTATTGCCTTAGAAACGAATTAGAAGCTTTGGGTGTTGCCATTGCAAAATCTTAAAATACACTAGCCAAAGTAAAAGAGTTTAAATCAAATCTAACAAGATCTGTAATTTATAAACAAGCAATAAAAATAACAACAGAATTAAATTGAAAAACTTTCACACCTTTCTTTTTATGAAAGAATCAGACCTAATTACTAAGCACCATTATGGGAATTACATTATATAAATCGGTTTTCCGTTATCATCCTTAAAGATGACATTTTTAAGACTAGAGCCGTCAACTTCGAACCTTTAGAAGTTTAGCGCTCTAACAACTGTATTAGTTGTTAGAGAAATATACCTGCTAATATAATTAAAAATTACTTGTTATAAAGCATATTTATTATCGTTATTTATAATTTTTATCTTATTTTTGATATAAAAAAGTGTTTGATATAAAAATGTGGACAAATTTTTACTGTTATATCGCTGTGTTTGACACGTTATTTGACACGTCTAAACGGTTCAGTATAACTACATTTACTGAGCCAGTGGTTGCATTACAAAATATGGCAAAATTTTATGGTATCTGTGTAAGAAGCAAATTAGATTAAATTATATTTACTAAACTTTTTGGTCCGCCAGGAAAAAATAACTGTTGAAATATGTTTGAAAATATATTTTAAAATTTCTAAAATTAAATAAAATTGATTTCAAAATAGATAAAATTTTAGGATCTTGTGAAATTGTTTATCTTGTTGTGCTGTTGTGAAATTGTTCATCTTGTGAAATCATCATTTATCGCTTTTATAACTGTCAAAATTATTTTTGATTTAAATTAATAAAACAAAAATAAAGTTAACAAAAAAAGTTAACATAAAAAACTTCTAGAAGTAGTGATGTAGTGGTGATGTATTTAAATAAGCGACAAAAAGAAAAAGAAAAGATAAATACTTAAAATTTTCTCCTTTGGTTACAAATTAACTACAGTGAAAATAGGCGTAGTAATATAAATAATATATTAATATAACAGTATTCTAATTTTTTTTTTTAAATAAATTTTAATACTCTTGAGTTGAGTAATTCTCTCTTTATAAAGTTCTATTTTCAGTTTTATTACACATTTTCACCTACTCAATTATTTAAAAAAAAAACATAATTCATAAATGGTTCGAGATAAGTGCAAAAATAGTAAGAGATAAATACTCTGCTCACGTGTAGTGTGTACAGAGTATTTATCTTACCATTTTTGTCTTTTTCTCGAACAATTTAATATAATTATGTATGTTGCATCATATATGGATTATACTTTTTAATTTTTAAACCAGCCCACAAACTTAGTGTGTATACAGTTAAATAAGAAAAATATATAGGAATGGTCTAAAAACTTTAGATCATTAATCGAATTGAGTATGTAGTCAAACTTTGAAAAATATGTTCGAGCTGTACACACCCCTACTCCAAAATTATGTCTTCATTAGTTTTATAAAATATCACCACTGTGAATAAAACTAATGACCGCTTCATGCTTCGTAAACTTAAAAAGATAATAATAATAAATTAATAATAATGGGTCCCAAATGTCGTTATATAATTTTTTTAAAGGCTTTTAAATCAATCACTTTTTCTTGCATTCATATATCTAAAGAAAAACTCAATAACTTTTTAAATGGATATTCCGCAATACCGTACCGAAATAGTTTTGATGGACAAAATACGCATTTAACTATTGCAACACAAAAAAAACTCTGACGACGATATTTGGGATATAACCCACTTTTATCACCAAATTTCCTGCAATTAAATACCTGATTAAAAGATGCAGGGACAACGACCGATAAATCAGAAACAGAAAGACCACAGACAAGTCGTTCATTAGAAAATATATAGCAATTAAGCAAACATGTACAAGAAGATTCAGAAACATCAAGATCATCACTTAAATGATAATCTTGATCACATCCAAAGATCAAAGTAAACACATTTTTTACTGTTAAAGATTATTTTTTGCAAAATTTTTTTTAACTATTTATTTTTTAATTTTGTTGTTTTTAAGATGCTTCAAGAAGACTTCGGTCACGGAGCACCGCGTAGACTTCGGTCACGAACGCTATGCAAGAACATTTAACAAGGAAGTTTACTCCACTTTCGTTACCAATGTCGCAAACACGGCCACAGCAGGCATTAAACCTATTGATTCTGAACCAAGTGCTCTAACTACAGCAACAGTGCTCCTCAAACCTATTTAACTAGTAAAGTGTTTCCTAAGATTCGGTAGAGTACAGTACAAATTTAACTATAAATTTTCTTCATGAATTGCTTTGCCTTAATGAGTTATCCTAACAAAATCAATTTAATTGCAATAAAAATTTATCTTTGAAATATTTTTTGGACTTTATGTATGATGTCTTGGGCGTTATTTCTGAGGGGATGTTTGTAAGGGTGGTTCTTGCAATCAAAATTAAAGTTGCAAAAAAAAAAAAACGCTACTGGATGGATTGTGCTTTGGACATCGTCAAATATCTTAAAATGAAAAATAAAAAATAATAAAAATTAATAGGAAGTTTAATTCTATCTTGGTATGAAACTAAAATGATTGCAGAAAATCCTGGATGAAAATTCTGGATAAAAAATCCTGGATGAAAACCCTATAAACAGTAGATGAAATCTTGTACATGAGTTATAAATAAATGAGGTTAGCAGCCTTTTTTAATTTTAACGTGAAAGTCTGCTAAGTTTATAAATTTATGAACATCTTTATAAATAATTTGATAAATATGAAAAAGAAGGGAAAAATACCTCATGACTAAACTATGATTTTTTTGAAAATTTTGCATAATCCACACTTTAAAAAGTTGCCAATCGCCAAATTTCATCTGCATGACGTCGCGAAGTTCATTTAAGTCGCACGTCGCCAGCACACGACCATTTATGTTATTTTCAAGAATTCGATTTTTATAAATAGGTACTAATGAATCATCCATTCCATCAATCTCAGCAAGCTATAATATTTGCAAAAAATAAAATTGGAACAAAAATTCAAAGATGGAAACAAATGTCAAAGATGGTTGTTTAAGTTGATTTCAAGCATGACAGTTCAAAGATGGTTGTTTAAAAATGGTTGTTCAAACATGGTTTTACGTATTTTATTTGAATAGTAAAACGGTATTTTTGAAAAAAAAAAAAAAAAGGAAAAAAATATTAAGCCTCTAAACCATTTCAAAAAAAAAACTTTACAATGGTCAAAAGATTACCTGATATGCAATATCTTTAACTGTCATATACAATAACTGATGATCACTATTCGCAATACTCTGAACAGCAAAAAGAGGAATAGAAAATAAAGAAAATATTTACACACTCATTCATATTTTCATCCTATAATGAATTTGCCTCCCCAACCCCTGAAAAAGATCACCTTTTACAAAAAAAAAAAAGAACCTTGCTTGCTGAGAATGTGCTGGAACGAGAACATACTTTCGGGGAGCGACTTCTATTTGCAATCAAGTACTCCACTATAGCATTTCGTATTGCAGGATCCATATATATCATAAAAGGAGCAAAGATTCTAACATCTTCAACATTTATTGATGGCTTATGAGAAGAAATGAACGAGTCAAAACTACTGTTATCAGAATCATTACCTAAAAAAGTTGAAGAAATAGTTGGTATTCCATATCCATACAATTTATTAACCTGACTAACTTTCATTCTTTCAGGTATGTTTAATTCGCCGTCTAAACATAAAATTGTTATCCAAGTAGATTTACAAGGCCATTGATCACAGAGTGATACCCATATTGCAAGTTGAGTCCACTGAAAAGGTACATGAGCATTGCGCAAAATTCTTCCATTTAATGAAACAATATTCATAATGCGTTTAATGTCAGCCACAGATCCAAATTCGTCATTTCTAAATAAATAAGATAGATCATGTATGTTTTCTAATGATACAGAATGTTCGTCACTTTTACAAGGTGATATCTCTTTAATAGATAGTTTGGGTGAACGATTGGACAAAAGTCGTGTGTCTTCACGCTCACTAATTGGACGATCATCTCTACTGCTAATAGAACGATTAAGCAACTCATTTGAAATTTGAAAACCGTCATTAAGATCCCATTCTAGTTCCTCCTGGTTATCACTTGATATCATACCTATTTCTTTTTGATACTCTGGAGGTATTATCCCATTCATTTTCATTTTTAATGGTTCAAGTATAAAATAAGGAAGATTAAATAAACTCTTTAAGAAATCATATGCTACTTTCTGCGAATCACCAAGATTTTCATATATTTGATTTGCAGCTTTTGTAAGTAAAGCAGGGTCTGCTGATATCACTATAATAAAACTTTGTTTGGCATCGCATAATAAAATATTCAATAAGTTTATTAAATGCAGAACTTTATCTTGTTCAAGTGTTTCATGAAAATCGACATTCAAAATGATTCTAGTTTGACGCCGAGCAAATCCATCAATAGACAAAATCATATCAGAGTTTAAATCTATTTCTTGTTTTAAAACTGACACAAAAGTTTCTTCTTGTATATTTGGCTGATTAGACATTATACGAATTCTTTTCTTCGTTGATAATACTAGACAGTATACGATAAGTATGAAGCGTAAAATGTAGACTAACAATGCACAAATCAATACACAACAACAAGCAATTTGGATGGCAACAATAGCGCTAGTTCCATGGATACCAAAAACTCCGTACAAAATGATGCTTACCCACAAGCAAAAGAGCACTCCAAGTGTTATTACAATAGAAGGAATGCAGCAGCATGATTTTTTCCAACGTAAAGAGTTGTTACTTTGTAATGTATTAGGACTAGCTTGAAATATTCTGTAAAGCCTAGGAATAAACATACCTATATCTTTTTCTATTGCATCAGTCAATTCGTTGGTCATGTTTACTAAAGCAGTGATTGGTGAATTACTGGAAAAAAAATTTGAAGAAAGATCAATAGTTATAATATGAACAGGTAAAACCGATGAACCAGATACATTAGATAATGGAACTAAATAAAGAATTTTTAAGAACCACAAACTTCTATTTAAAAAATTGGTTAATAACACTCCAACGTAATTTATATAACTGTTAAAACTCAACAAAGCTATGCGAGCAAATGCTATTAATGCAAGCGTAAGTATAACAATAACGATTGCTGTAGCAATAGCATCAATCCATGTAAACGATATCCAAACAAACAATCCAATTGTTGTTGCAGTCATTACAATGAAAATGACAACAGACATAGTTAACAAAAACGAAGATATGTTCTCGTGTTCTCGATACTGCTCCATAAGTTCTATTATCATAAAAAATAAATTATATATATATGTATATATATATATATATATATTTATGTGTGTATATATATATATATATTTATATATATATATATATATATATATATATATATATATATATATATATATATATATATATATATATATATATATATATATGGCTACACACGCCTACACACACACCTTTACATACAGTAAAATATAGGGGAGGACGGGGCAAGATGGCGAATATTTTAAAAGCCCTGAGTTATTGCACAACTATCTGTCATGAAGCAATAATACTTTGTCAGCTTTGTTTATGTTATAATAATAATTTATTACCTGCATTAATTTTTAGTTTGCAAGTAAAAAAATTTGAAATTAAAATTAAAATAAAAAGTTTATCTGGCCACGTGCAATTTTATAAAATAACAATTTTATAAAAACTACCAACTAATTTAAAGTAACACAAAATAAAAACGCGTCACCAAAAAGATTTTTCTAAAAAAATTACACCTGAAGGACACCAACTATTATAACCGAGGTACTTTTTTTCAGCGCAAAAATTAAAGTTATGCGTCTAAAATTGCGTTAATAATATTTAAAAAAAAAATCGAATGGCGTTTTAAAATACAACATGTAAATACAGTTTCGATTTCAACTATTTTTAAACTTTTTTGTTGAGTACTTATATGAAAAGCCATCTTGCCCCATTCGCCACTGTTTTCCCCTACCTACCATCGCATACAGTAAAACATAATTACACACATCCCATCACATACAGTAAAACATACCCTACACACACCCTCACACACAGTAAAACATACCTACACACACCCTCACATACAGTAAAACATATTAAAACAATATACACAATGTTTTAAACTCACTCATAATTTTCTGCGCATACGGAGATTTTCCGTTTTCCTTTTTTGAGAATAAACCAACACTTAGAGGAACAGATAACGAAGGGTCAACAAAAAAATCAGCCAAAGTTGTCAAATAAACATTATTTTGATCCATCTTCTCATCACATGAAACTAATAACAAATACAAAACAAAATTATTTGTTATTGGCGACAACTGAATATAACGATACAAATTGTTCTTTTCATTAAACTTTCGATCGATTTTTGTTTTACTTTATTCACAACGCTCTAAAAATCAATAGACATCTTAAAGCGCGCACTGATTTAAAATAAATGAAGTAAACTTATTGCAAATGTGAATTTCACAAATATTCAATTGATGTTCAATGCATGTGATGCATGGATTGAATGACTAATAGTACAATTCATCTATATAAATTAATTAACATTCTAAATTTACAAAATAACTGATTTCATCAATAATATGCAATTAAAAATTAAACAAAAATCCTTAAATAATTTTTATTTTATTTTAAAGAGAGTGTAAAGTTTAAATAAGAACATTGTTTTGCGGGAAAATTACTATTTTTTTTCTTCTTAATTAATCGATGGCCAAGGAAACAATTAAATTCAATGGCCAAGGAAGTCACTAAATTCAAGGAAACCACTAAATTCACTCAATGGCTGAAGAAGCCACTAAATTCGAGGAACCTTTGTTATTATAACAAACTAAAACAAATGTTGTTATTAAACAACTCTATCTTAACCTTGTAATGCCAAAACACCTTGACAAACAAAACCGTTGTACAAAATTAGGTAATGCCAAAGATTTTGAACTCCATAATTATGGATTTTAAAACAAACACTCTATAACTTCACTATCACCGATTAAATCCGATTACAGCCAGAAATTAACGCTTTTATGTACAAAAAAATAAAAATTAAGGTAATATTAGTAATAATATTACCTTATTTACTTTTAATAATAAACAACACAAAACACTTAAGGATTGAAAGCGTGTTATATAGAAGAACAAAGAAAAAAAAAGTTTATACACCAAAAGTCCTCTAAACAGTAATCCTTGCAAAACGTCAAAAAAAGTAATTAAATTGATTTAAAAGTTGATTTAGAGTGATTTATAAAAAACAGTGTCTAACGACTGAAAACAAGTAATAATAGTAATTATTAATAAGTAAATGTTTATTCATGAACTTGATTAGCGAATTTTTTGAAAAAAAGCATAAAATTTAAAACATGAAAATCAACACTATTTATTTTTACAAATTATTACCAATCAATTTTATTATTTTTAAATGGTAATGGGCACAAATAATTTTATATTACTTTTTACCTTAAAAAATTTGAAATTTTTTAAAATTCTTTTTGTGTAAAGTTTAAAGTTTATACTCCAAGTATAAACTTTTTTTGTCTCAGCTAACATGTTTTTTTAAATAATAGAAAAGATTAACGTATTGTCTCATTTTCCCCACAAACAGCATGTGTAAAAGCATGAAAATTTTAACATATAAAATAAATTAATAAAAAATTGATGGGGAAGAAAATTAAAACGATTGACATTTCAAAAAAAAAAATGCAACTTACACGAAATTTTTCTAATACTCAAGTTTCCTACCGTCGTTTTTTTCCTAAGAAGTTCATTAAAATTGTTTCCCAACAATCTAGTTTCTTTTCCTCATTTTTATTCTAACAACCTAGTTTCATATGGTCGTTTTTTTGCTAAGAAGCTCATTAATAACTTTCTTCGCGCATCATTAATAAAAAGTTGCATAACTTTTATTTAACAAATGAAACACTTTGCAAAATAGTAATTTTCAGTTTGCTAATTAAACGTATATCATGATCGAAATAAATCACTCTAATTTAAGTTAAAGGAGATTGAAAACATGTGTATCATCTTTCCTACTATCTTGTTGTGTACCGCATTACCCTAAGTATACAGTATTTCGATTAAAAGAAAGTTTTCAACTATTAGAAAGAATTTGTTTCAATGCCACTAAATTATTTTTTGCCATTACGAATTACGAACTTGTTTACGTAGATGAAACTTCATTCTGGTCGAGAGTAATGTGCACTTAATGAATTGCATATTTTAAAATCCTATACAGGCTCAGAATAAGCAGAGATATGCGCAGCCTGATTCACTGATTTTAAAAGAGAGGCATGTGCGCGTTTGTTAAAATCAATGTCAAAAGGTGGATAAGTGAAATCGAACATAAAAAAATCAATAATAGTAACAAAAAAACTATGATTTTTATATCATAGTTTTTTTGTTACTATTATTGATTTTAGTAATGTTTTTACATTACTTATACTTTTACAAAATATCCTTGATTTTCAAAACAATATCTTAAAAATAAAAATTCAAAAAAATGAGTTTGTTTTCCTAAGGTTTTTATAACTCCAAGATATAAAAAAGACAATAGTTGTAACAAACTATGGTGAAAAGATGGTGAAACTTGACTGTTATTCTCATACGATTTTTCAAAACAGTTTTATATTTTACCTAGTAATATCAATAGAATACTAATAACTTGGTTTTTTTTACATTAAGTTCCAATCCTTTCATTTAGCTAGAAAAATACAAAAAAAAAAATTCAATTACTTTTTAGCACTTAACCTGAATTACTCCATTTAAAAAACATATACATTACTAAAAAAAAATATACATTACTAAAAAAAAATACATACATTACTAAAAAAATATATAAATTACTAAAAAAAAATATACATTACTAAAACGTTTAAAGTTTGAGAACTTATTGGTTATTATAGCTCAGAAATTTTGCAACATTCTCAAATTAAAAAAAACTGTTAGTAAGAGATTTGTTTTGATATAGTTAAGTAATTACCAAAAGGAATAACTCTTAACGTCCCACACCTTTATAGAGAACTAAGGGTAAAGAGGTAGAAACGAGAAAAATTGCAAACATATCAATTCATGTTGTTAAATAAAAGATCTTGATAAACTTTGATAAATTCTTACGCTGTTTTTATTTTATTATTTTACAATAAATAATTTTGAAGGATAAAAATAAAAATTTGTTAACTCCGGAAAAATGAAAAAAAAAAGTTATGTTTTAAAAAATTATGTATTAATATAATGATTTTTTGGTATAAAATCAAGTTATTTTGTTTAGTTTTTATGGATACATCTTAGATAATTTTACTACAATGAATATTACATTTTACTATTAACTAATCCATCAATGCTATCATGGCTATAACCAAACATCAAGGCTACAACCTAACATCATGGCTACAACCTAACATCATGGCTACAACCTAAAATCATGGCTACAACCTAACATCAAGGCTACAACCTAACATCATGGCTACAACCTAACATCATGGCTACAACCTAACTAAAGCCATTTTAGGTTAAACAAAAACACATAGCATGACAACTGAGTTTTTTTAACTAATAGTTTTTTTTACTAATAGTTTTTTTTACTAATAGTTTTTTTTACTAATAGTTTTTTTACTAATAGTTTTTTTACTAATAGTTTTTTTTTACTAATAGTTTTGTCTTTTCTTATTACTCTCATTTTCTCATTACTCTTTTTCCATTAATTTTTTTAATTTTTATCATTTATTTGGGTTTTTTTTTAAAAAAAATTTAATTATTACAATACTCGAAAAGATCTATAATTGTAACACATACATTTTTTTCCACCACATCAGATAGAATCCCCCATCACCAAGTTAAACTCTATTGAAATTTTAAGATTTTTACGAGTGAAAACTTGTACAAATAGATATTGTTCGAAAAAAAAAATTTCCGTGTTGATAATAGCACAAGACTGAAAACTTAGTTTATTATTACCAAGGAGGTTTAATAAACAGGAGACGGTGTCACGTGACTTTTTTGAAGCCAGTTTTTAAAACGGCTGCCATCTTGGTTAACCCAAAACATCTCACGGAACTTCAGAGTTAACTTAAAAACTTATTAAATTTTATTCAAAAGATTGCACCAAATAAATGAAATATTCGTCACTTTAACTTTGGCAGCTTTTACTATCTTATAAAGAATTATTTGCTAACTGATTGCCTATTTCACTTTATTCTAATAACATTCGGAATAGTCAAAACTTCATTTCACTGAAATAGACATTCAGATAGCTGTACTTCAACGCGATACTAGAAGATAATGTATTTCAAATAGTATAAAAGATTCTTGAGAAAATATAACCAAATATTTGTGAGTTTTTTTATCTATACTTAAATTTTAAATTAAAAATAAATATATATTTACAAGCGCGTGTGTGTGTTTATATAAGTATGAAGATATTTACAATATATATGTATATATATATGTATATATATATATATATATATATATATATATATATATATATATATATATATATATATATATATATATATATATATGTGTATATATATATGTATATATATATATATATATATATATATATATATATATATATATATATATATATATATATATATATATATATATATATATATATATATATATATATATATATATATATATATATATATATATATATATATATATATACATATATATATATATATATATATATATATACATATATATATATATATATATATATATATATATATATATATATATATATATATATATATATATATATATGTATATATATATATATATATATATATATATATATATATATATATATATATATATATGACATTTGAGTAATTTGAGATGTATTCTATAAAGTAGAGTGTTCTTAAAAAAACAGAGCAACTAAACACATATTTATTAAATAAATCTTTTTTTTAGCTTTAAATTATTTATATTGAGTGTAGGCTATAAAGTTGATAAAAAGATATAATTTGACATGATTCGTGCATTACTTTTCATAGGTACGTTAAGCTACATCAAGCAAGAAATTTAACAAAGCAATGATATCATAAAAGTATATTCTATAAAATAATGACTAATAAAGTAACGAAATCACCAGAGTAATAGCATATATGGTATTACTATGGTGATTTTTTTGTTTCATTAGTTAACATTTTTATAGAATTCCGTCACAAAAAAAATTATCAAGTTTTGACAAAAGTTGATAACTGCTCTATGCAGAGAAACTTTATTGGTCCTCATAAGTCAGCAGTTGCGTTCAAAGAAGAAGTTGTA